ATAATATGTTACTACATTATAGCCCAGCCCATCTTGACCAAATACAGCTGTGGCTTTCACTGGGCATAGAGATGCAAATTCCTTGAGTAACTTTTGGAAGCACGAATGAGAGTGAGGATGAGGTGTCAAAGCCTTACAGCTAGTAAGGATGACGCTGCCTATAAGAAATCTGTTTTAAATACAATGACACGAATAATTTAAAAGTAAACCGTTGTGTGGGGGTAACAATACCACACTAATATGTATCCAAAAAAAAGCTGAAAAAACTACAGCTAGTTTTACCTAAATCATGGCAGTCGCTCCTCAGGAATGGTGTGTGATAGAAATAGAGCAAAGGTTCTCATACGTCTTTTTAAGTCTAATGTATTCCATGTCAGCTATTGAGGCCCAGTCACAGATATAATCATGAACGTCACTGCAGGGCATATTTCACAGAGTAGTAAGTCAACTGTAACCAAAAATTTAAGTGGCCATAGTTATTCTTATTGGCTGTCAGAGAAATATCTGGATCATAATGCCAGCTTATCCTTTTAGAAAATATCTTGAGTGGATGGGAGGTCCTGCTAAAGAGCCTTTGGGACAGACGTTTCAAAGTTAGCAGCAGCCCAAGATAAAAATTTTAGTGTAAGAGTTTTTTTAATACCTCCGTTCCTTATGATACCAATATTCGACGTAAGTCTCTGCCTTCGTACCATTCTGGGATCAGGTACGGGATAGGTGGAACATGTTCACCTGGGCTAAAAGTCTTGCTGACTGATTTGTAGCATCCCAAGAGACAGGCTGTAAAAAGACAGGCTGGTGCAACAATGGCTGTGCCAGCTTGGAATCAAAGGCAAGAGACAGACAAGGTGTCCATGGGAGTCATCAAACACTGCCTTGGGAAAGGATGCTTCTGGTCGGAAGCAAGATTTGAAAAGTGGGATTATATCAGTTCCAAGGCTGTCACCCACAGTTGAGGCAGTCAGGAAAGGCCTGAGAAAGCCCCCCTGGGCTTGCAACCTCGAGGGAGGCTGGTTCTGGAACCCTTAGCAGATTATTGAGAATGACAGCAATAACATGATGAAACTGATGGGCAGCTTGGGGCAGAGATGAGTAGACATCTGGAGAAATTATCACTGCTAGGCTGTAGTGGAGGCTGCCTTAAGCCCTGTTAGGAAATCTAGTGAATAGGGTGGGCCACCAAAACCTGGGGAACTAGGCACCACCAGCGAGATGGCCCACCTTCGTTGCTAGTTTTCAGTATTACTCTCAAAGAAGAACTCTAAATTCATGAAAATTTTGCTCATTAGATTTAGAGTTTTAATCACTAGCCACCTTTCCCAAGAGATTCCATTTAGTGACTCACATAGGAATACATGGCATCCTTGAGAGTATCAGTTCTGAAATGAACAACAAGTGAACTAGAAAGCTCTCCTCAGTCCACTTACAACAGAGACTATGAATATGGACCTGGGAGATACTTTTGGTAAACTTGAGTTAATGACAGCATAACAAAGTGACAAGACAAAGATCAGAATGTGTCAGTAGAGATGCTCTCTAAGGCTTCTTCCTTTTGAACAGAATTATCAAAAGTAATTGAGGTAAAACTTGACAGATCTCTTGGTGATGGAGTCACGTCTCCTTCAATAGCTTGGGGCATAGTGAAGAGGTTCACTGTGCAGGATTGGGCTTTAGTACCTGAGATAAAAACAAAGGAATAAACTATTCAATGGTAACTGCAGACCTCCCTGATACTGTGTACCACAGTGAAAATTAAGACTCATTGATGAGAGTTTTGTGCTGCTAAGTTGGGAACCTGTATTACAGGTAGTGTTAGTACATTTATAGTATTACTTTCTTTCCTGATATAATAAGCTGGATGAGCTCGTGCACATTTTCTGAGTTACAGAGTTCTGGTTGTATATAAGGTACAGTCTATGGTCAACTAAAGCAGAAACTGTTGATGCCCTACCAAGTATCCCCTGGGCCCGCTTCTGTGTTGACCTCAGGTGCCTGCTTCTGTTCCTGAGGACTCTGCAGCATCAAGGGACTTTGCTGAGCTGTGCACAGGAGCAGCTCAAATGGCAGAGAAGTTAATGCCCCAGAAACAACTCCTGACAAAGGGAAAGAAATGATGGATTAGTGCCTCAGCCTCCTAGCCTGCAGTGGAACAATTCTGTATTGCCCTCCACAGTTTCTCACAGGGTGCCCAGAACAGTTGAGCCCTAATTACCCAATGTGGCAAGCTGCTCACTGATGCACCCTTACTTAGCCTTTCTACCTTCCCTGTGTCATTTTCCCCAACCGCACATGTGCTTCCTGAGATCACCTCCCAAAAAACCACCTGGACCCGAGTCCTAGTGTCAGGGTCTGTATTAGTCAGGATTCTCAGACAAACAAAACAGAACCAATAGGATAGATAGATTGATCTATCTATATATCTACATCTCCATATAGAGAGATTATAAGGAAATGACTCACAATTATGGTGGCTGGCAAGTCCAAAATCTGCAAAGCCAATGTAGTTCAAGTCCAAAGGCAGGCAGGCTGCTCTAAAACCAGGAAGTGAGAACTAAGAGAGAACTCTCCTGCCTGATGGCCTTTGAACTGAACTATGTGTCAGTTCAAAGGCCATCAGGCAGGAGAGTTCTCTCTTATTTGGGAGAGGGTCAGCCTTTTGTTCTGTTTAGGCCTTCAACTGATGTGGTGAGGCCCACTCACATTATGGAGGGCAAACTGCTTTACTCGGTCTACCAATTTAAATGTTAATTTTATCGCAAAACACTCTCACAGAGCACTCAGAGTAATGTTTGATTAAATATCTGGACAACCTTTAGCCCAGTCAAGTTGACAAATAAACTGAACTACTACAAGGTTTGATTTTGGGAAACTCCAGTCCACAGCACCAAGCATCACTCATCATTTTAGAGAACACTCCACGATTTATAATGGGAGCAGGAGACTGTTTTTTTGTGAGCCATCCACCACAGGAATCATCCTTGCACTCTCTGACCTCCTGTCCACCTTCCAACATATAGACTCCGAGCCCCTATTCAGAAGGCACTTTCGCCCTCAGGGAAAACCAGGTCGCTGCCCATGAATTTGAGACAAGAAGAGTCCTGGTCCAGGATGGAGTGGAAGCTTTGCTATGTGCACATTCAGTGCCCTCTGCCTGACATTTTTCCTGATCTTCAGGTGCGTTTGTCTCACTCTGAAGTAGGCACTTAGTCTCACTGATAGGGGGTCAGGTAGTTGTCGCACAACCTACACCACCTTCCCTGGCTTTTGGGTGGGCCAGAAAGCCAGCTCTAGGAGCTAAAACGGCCCCGATTTGGTGTCGCTGTCCGTGGTGCTGACCGAACGTCAGCTTCCGCGTTGACGTGTTTGCTGTCCTTGGTGCTTGCCAACGGTTCTTTTTGTAAGTACCCAAGAAGATACCGCAGGCTAAAGCTTATTTTTGAAGCATAGACTAGAATTCAAGGATAAACATGAGATTTTGGCTCCTGCTGAGGTGTATTATAAGATTTAGAGGTCTGGCCTATGTGTCCCAATTCACACTGAAGAATCAACAGTTCCTTGCTGCCCCATATTCCCAGAACAGGTTCTGGGATTTAGCACAGTCGATGAAGAAAGCAGAGCTAAGTAGAAAGCAACCAAGGCTGCAGTTTTCAGGCTATTAGCCACAGCAGGAGAGCCACTGTATTTCGGCAGTCCCTAGCATGGAATTTCCCTCTTTCTGAGTTCTAGCTTGTAAATTCCAGCTTGTAAACACCTCTTGGATCAGTCTGCTTCACCACACACACACACACACACACACACACACACACTTCCATGACAGCCATGATCATCAATCACCAGTTCTAACTACCATCAATGGCAATTGCTGGGATCATTCCTTTAGGATAACATTTTCAAAGTAGTTAACTAAGTCAGTGTGTAGGTACATTGTTTTGTCAGATGTGTGTACCAATTTGCATCCCCACCAACCTTGTGTAAGAGTGCCAGAGCCACTCCCGGGTGGCAAAAGCTCAAACAGCAATACATATATTTAAAACAACAACAAAATGGTGTGTTTTAGTGTATATAAACTATATCCCAATAAAAAGATTGACCGGAAGAAATACATTCTAAAAACAAACAAACAAACAACAATAAAACAGAGCTAAGGCTTATAGAGCACTTAGCATGCCATGGCTGGGGTAAGTATGTAGTGCTTTAAAACAAACCTCTGAGGGAAGTTCTGTTTTACAGATAGGATGACGAGACGCAGATAGTTCAAGAAACTTGCTCAAGTTCAAACAAGATTCTGAGAGGGTCAGGTAAGCTTCCTGAGACCACCCAGCAAGCGAATGGCACAGCGAGGACTGACTGAAGCCCATGCTTGTCTTCCCGTCTCTTTCCAAGGAGACGCCCGCTTCCCTGCGGCCTAAGAGAGGTGCCAGGGGTTCTTGAGAAAGTAGAAGATGAGGCAGGGAGACGGGGAGAGTTGCGAGGCGGCAGGCTGCATCTGCGCGCAGGCTGGGAAGAGGGGCTTCCGGGGCTACAGGGTCGCCCAAGCGGGCGTGATGCAATTACGCCAGTCGCTGCGTCAAAGGGCGGCTCCGAGGATGCGGGGACAGCGCTGGACCTGGTCCCGATCGCCGCCCACAGCGTCCCCGCCGCGACTAACCCTGCCGGCAGCCGCTGCCGCCAACCTTGGTCCCGCGCCAGGACCACCACCCCAAGCCACCGGAAACGGGGACGACCGCTGGGAACCACCGGACCCC